CCTTATGCAAGATAAACGCATTTTTAGTTAAGCTTTACTAAAACAGGGGGAAAAAAAAAAGCCTTTCATTTGATTTTGTTTACATTGAACAGAAGTAATATAACACAGTGGGAAACCGGCCCACAGTCCATTTAGCTATAGCAGGTAAGACAAAATATAGAGCTTAACATCTACCCCTTTGTCAATGACAAAATTTTGACTGACTCTGATAGCACAGGGTCATTGCCAGGGATGGAAGCACAACTTTCACACCCCAAAACATTTGCATAAAGAAGAGAGAGTCTCACAGCATCAGGAAGATCAAATAAATAAAATGAGCATATCTCAGCCTGAAAGTAAATAGCATATCCAAATGTTTAATTCCCATTTCCCTCAAAAGAAAACCCACAATCCACCCACAACCCAACTTCCATTTCCCCAAAACACAAACTAAGGCTGAGATCAATTCCCTAACATTTTAATAATACACAAGCACACACAGGGTTTAGGACAGTGATGAAAAAATGTGTCATGCTTTTCAAGGTTAGTCCCCTTCCACTTTAAAAATATTTATGTTTTCTGGTCTTTGTCCTCACTGTGGTCTCCTAGAGAGAAAATGTCCTTCAGAGGCACGCTGACAGAGATCACCCAGGCCCAAAGAGACATTGTGGATTTCAGCTGCCAGCATGGGCGGGACAGGCTCTGTTAGCCAGGCAGCAGCTGCAGGACACACTGGGCTCCCAATGCTGGGGAAGCCCTCACATCAGGTATTTCAGTCCCTGCAACACAGTTCAGGGGGAGCAGCCAATCCCACTGAGTACCTGACCCCCTCCACCAGGTGTTGTCTGAGTTGAAAGATAACTGCTCACTTTTGGACAGTGCTCTTACACAGCAGGTTATTCGCTGTCCCAGCATCCTGACAGGTTTACAAAGTACGAATAAGATGGCTAAGTAGTTGCACAAGGCAACATGAGCTGAAAAAAACTCAAATCACCAAAACCCCAACCACAACACCAGCTCCCTCACCCTCCCTAGCAAACAAAGAACTTCTACAGTTTGGCTAAATAGGAACAAAATTCCGTACAGTGCATACTGGTAGACATGGACTCTTAAATAGAGTAGTAGATTTTTCTCTTAAATAAGAGAAAACAAGTATTCAGGGTAAGGATGACCAACTGTAAATGAAGGGGAATAAACCTAGATTGACAGAAATTACAAAAAAAAAAAAATAATATAACCCCAAGCTCCAGACAGTATCGTCAGATAGATGCTGCCCAGCCACCAGCACTCTGCTATGGCCATAGAGCTTTCCAAGTGTTATTACACTTACAGGACTTTAAGGGATATTTGCAGGAGGTAACCCTGCTCTTGCAGCAACCTGAGCTCTGTCCCTTGTACTGTCTTTAAAGGTTTTGCTTTCAGCTACCTATCTGCAGGATGAAGATTTGGGGTCAATAACTCAGCAGTACCTCCTCCTGCTTCCATGGCCACTGCTGCTCCTACACCAAGGTAGCATCAGCATGCACACATTTTGTAGTGGAGTCTTCCTGTCTCTGATTTCCACAGGCCGTGAGTATGTGCACCTTGTCCGCAAACACTGATCTCCAGAACACTGTTTCTCAGCAGGACTATGCCAACTTGTATCTATCCTTTGAAGAGACAGTGGTTTTAGTTTGGTGGGGAGATGAGATTGCACTTCAGAAGGTGCTTTTTTTTTTGAAAAAAACAATATATTGATAATCAACAAAAAAAAAGTAAAGCCAAAATTTCAATATCATGACAAGTTTATCAAAAAAAGAACAAAAGAGAATTGCTTAGTTACCCAAATAAAAGTAATGGACAGAAGCCCACACCATTCCTACCTGAAGGACATAGACACACCTACCACCTGGTTTTAGGCAAAAGTCATCATCTTCCTCCACTTCATCCAATGAATCTACACCTGACAACACTGGACAGTTTACAGTGGTAACACCTCATCCACTGAAATTCTAGTTTTGCATTATTCAGTTAGCCCTCATACCCTCTCTCACAGCACTGCAGTCATTCAAGGAGGGAAGCTTCACCAGCACCTGTGGAAAGCAGCAAAGGAAAGGTATCTACGGCACTGTGGATATTCTATTCCCTACCAATATTAGTGGCAATACAGCCTAGACTTGCACTGCTAGCCTTGAACATCTCAGCAAATCAGAGTGATGAATTATTTAGGACAAACACTTTGAGCTTCAAACTGAGAACAGTGGAGCTGCCTATTTTCTGCAGTGGCTTCCTCAGAAAGTCTCTCCCTGCTCCCTTGCTAGGACACTGGAAGTGATACTAGGAACACTGCCTCAGTTAAAAAACATTGTCATTGTTTCACAAACCCTTACCAAACTTTACCCAACTAGGTAGTACTATTCCATGTTGGCTATTTTCTCCAGATTATTTGACAGTGCAATTGCTAAATTAAACTATTTCAAAGAACAAAACCAGTGCTGAGAGAGGGGAGGACATTTTGAACATGTCAAGATCTGATGATGTCCAAAGGTCAACCTGAACCACGCTTCAAAGTGACAAGCCTGACATCTGGTCATGAGGCTTGGAACCAAGGATGAACCTCCTCCCCGCAGCTTTCACATTACAGCATGCCCCAGCTGAAATGGTATTTATGAATGCCTTGTGAGAAGGAAAAGTAAGTGTCATGTGTGCCCCACTGGGTTGGCAGACATCTGCAACAAATTTGCCATCACAAACCCAGTCTCAGGTGGTACTGTTTCAGTTCTACACAAGAGCAGATCTGCGCTACAAAGGTAGTGTGTCAAATGGGCATCCGACCACTGGCAGTAAAAACACAGTATCCTATTACTCTCAGTAATCTTGCTGCTGGGTCCACTGATGATATAGAAAGCCAGAGAGACAATCGCTATTTTATATTCTAATTACCTGCATGACAAAGGCCACTGCATTTCCCCAAATTCCCATTTGGCCTCAGGTCTACAAAATTAAATCTTTCTTAAACATTTTCGAGAGGTCAAGAATCCAAAGTAGCACTTTGCAAATCAGGTCAGTGAGTCTTACAAGTGCACATCTTTTTTTTTTTTTTTTTGCTAAAATCCATCTAACTAGAATCCAAGGATGCCAAACAGGGTGTTTACACTTTAAGAAGATGTAATTTTTTGCTTCTCCTCATTATTCATGCACAGTCCCAAAGCAAATTTATAGCGAGTTTCTAAAAATAGCATTAATAATCTTAGGGGCTGCATTAAGACCCTAATTAAGACAGTATATGAATTTTTCCTGCTTGCACCTAAGATTATAGATTTAAGCTACACACTCACAGGACTCCTTAAGGAATTTATTTTCTTAACATCAGCTTGGGAAAGATGGTCATCATTCTTGCTTCCAAGATGTTGAGACATCAAGTCAGAAGCATTTCACTACCTTGGTGTGACTTGTTAAACCACATTTAGGACCCAGTTTCTCAGTGGACATCGTAGTTCACAGCGTAACTCCCTTGGACCTGGTTGCAGTTGAAAACATTCATCAGCTCTGAAAGTGCTCTCCAACATGAGAAGTGAGGCATTGCGGAAAGGAGGAGTCTTCTCACAAGCATGCAAAGGCTTTTCTGAGGTGAGCTTTTTAGCTTCACACAAGACCTTCTCAGCAGAAGCAAGAGTGGGGGTCAGTTTCCAACAAACAATGCAGCTGCTTCAGTACCAAGATCAGCCCTTCTTCCAACGTTGTTGCTCCCTATCCACCGCTCAGCTGGCAACATCGGTAACAAAACTGGATAGATTTATCAACCAATCACCTCTCTCTCCCACAGCCATGGTTCACATGCAGGGTAAATCCCTCCTGCACACTGCAGACACAGGGATCACAGCCAGCCTTGGAACTGCTTCTTCCGCAGTCCTCTTGTCAGAAACAGCAAGCACTGGCCTACGGATTGCCATTGTTGGAGCGGGAGGAACAGAGCCTGCTGCTACCAAACAGGCCTGCAATTTTCTGGGAGCCATGAGATAAAGGAAGAGTTGATGAAAAAGAGTTCAAGCAAGAAATAAGAGGTGAAGATTCTAACCCCAAATTTGTACCATCAGTCCCAAACACAACTTTTGCTCAAACAGGTTAGCTTTGAGAAACCATGCAAAATGCACCACAGTTGAAAAGGATGTTACTAACAGCCTCTCTCTCTGCTCCCACAAGGCAGAAAAAGACACCTCCAACTTTTCAGTAAGAGTTAAACCCTGATTTAACTTGCAACTCAGGTTAAATACTCGTCCTCTCAGAAGTTACCACACATCAGTGAAATGAGTTTGTGTTGCTTTTTTCTGCATAAAGAGTTCAAAGTCTCCTCACTGGAAACAATTGCCATTTAACAACTAGTATCCTAGAAAGCTGTAAACGAGTCCTGATTTATCTGAACCGAAAACTCGTTATTACCGAAAGAAATCATACACTGTAACAATGACCAAAGCTTTCCTGGAAGAGTGCTCTCTCTGGATTTATCATTAACATCTATATCCTAACACTGCTAAATAATTCAGTACAGCATTTAGCCCTGTGTCCTTGCCTCTCTACTCAGAAACCACTCTCACTCTTTACAGTATATTTCAGCAACAGGGAGGAAAAATCTGTCTGGATTGTGGTTCCTCCTTGTGCTGTGGAACTGAGGGGGGAACCTCAGTTACCCTTTCTCTCTCAGCATAGAAGCACAGGTTTTATTTATTTTATTTTTTTTTGAAAAAGTGTTTATTAGACAACTAAATATAGAGAATTATTTATCCACACAGAGTCACGACCATGTGGGCTCAGATTCACATGCAAATTCCCCTTTTAATAATCCTAATGCAGGGAGTGCTCCAATCAGAGCGCTATCAGTCCCAGCTCCCAGATACCTGATGCCAGCTTTGCTGGTAATGTAGGCCACTGAAGCAAATCCAGAGAGATTGAGCTGGAAGTGGAGAGAGGCTCTGAGATCTATTTGCTTGGCTTCCTGACGACGAGGGGGTGTGTAACTTCTTTTTGTCTTTTCCACTATAAAGGGGATATCATTTAAAGAGGGATCATTAGCTGAGAGCAGCCCGGCTGGGTTGAGGCTGGGAGGCGGGGACGCAGTTGCAAGCAGTGGAGCAAGGTGGAGGCACGAAGACAGAAGACCAGGTTAATGAAAGCATGAGGTGGCTCTTGGGCAGCAGCTTGAAAAAATTTGGACACGCTGACAGGGGAAACTATGACTGGCTAAACAGTGAACCTGGTGGGCCACTTCTGGAAACAGAGCTTCAGGTCTGTACCCCCCTGCTCATCTCTGTGACGTGTCCTTTGACTTAGCATGTGTGTGTATGTCCATGTATACTGCAGAGTAAATACCTGGGTATTGGGATGTGTCAAAGCAGTACTGCTCAATTACACCGAGTCGGAGCATTTATTTATTGCTGTTAAGTTGTTTTAAACACATTTGTGGGAAAAGAAAAACGTTAGATGGAAAAATTCTCTTGGAGTGGCAGGTAAGGAAGTTTAATTACTTCTTTTAAGCATAATGCATTTTGCTATTTCTTGATTTCCTTTCTCTTAAATGCATGTTTACGCTTTGGATCTGGTCCTGTGAAGCCTTTCTGCAGATGTTGCGAGTCAGTAGCAGGCAGCAATGAACTCTTGTTCCCTAAGCTGTGCGCTGATTACTTCTGTGAGAGAGGATCACATGCAGGCGAGTGGGGGGAGGGAAGTAGCCCCCAGAGATGAAAACACAGCCTGTCTTTCTGGCTTTGTCTGGCATACAGTGAGAGGTTTTCTCTGATCAAAAATAATAATTTAAGGTGCACGTACATCCTCAGTAAATGTCCGAGTCAAGTAGCATTAGCAAATGAACTGGCCAGACTAGTTAGCTGAGATATGAAGTGTACTGTTGCAAAATAAAAGGGGATAGGAGTGTGTGTGGGTGTCAAAACAGGAGAAAAAGTAGTCTTTAATAACTCTGCAATTTTAACAAAATCTACCTCATTAGTAAGATTGCCAGAATTAGAGTAGCAATGGTAATGTCTTCACACCTCGAAACTGGTTTTATCTGACACTGGGAAACAAAGACCATCACCAGAGTCACATTTCAACAAGTATTTGAAAATTCTGTGTAAATCTAGGCTCACTTTTAAATTATGTGTCATTATTAATGTATACAAAAACATATCAAAATGTTTTTCTATTTGCCAGATTTATGTTTTTGCTTTTTACAAGCAATAATGAGTCAGCTTTAAGAAGCAGGATGGAGCTTGGAAAAGCACCTATGGGGGGACCACAGCCTAATGACTTCAAAGCAGACTTTGTTCCAAATCCACTTAAACATTTCAGAAGTATTGGTTTCATGATTCAACTTGAAAAGATATAAGTATAAATATGGGCTATTTAAATAAAAGTAATTTTATTAGAGTTCTAAGTACTCCAGCAAATCATTAACAACATAATAAATCTTAGCACCAATCACTTCAGTGGGAATTTCAGCAAGCAAATAAACTTTTACTTTTCTATCCTTACACCAAAGATTTCTTTAAACTCATGTTTGGCCTTATTAGGTCATTCTCTCCCAAGCCAGGTAGTATCCCTCTTTTGTCTAGACACATGGTTCAGCTCCAAACCCATTCCATTACTCATCATGGATATACCACACAACTCAGCTCCACTCTGCATTTTATTCCTCTATCAACAGGCATGAGTAAAAGCTCATCTTAGCTGATATGGGTCACATAATCTGTAAGCTGGCAACTGTACATGCTCAGCATGTTAAAAAAACATAGGCAGACAGATTACTAATGAAAGGCTTTACTACTTAAGTCTGTGCTCAGTGTTTGGGAAAACTGACCCTCTGCTTCAATTCCTACAAATATATAAATGAAAGGAAGAGAATAAACATGAGCCTACAATGACCAAACTATCCTAAGAATCAGTCCTGGGAAAACAGACAACTTTTTAGAAACATGATCGCTTTTACTCTGAAGCCCTTTTCTGCCTTTCTCTATTTTATACAGGATATTTTCCCTATATTTATGTGTCTGTAACTTATTTCATGGTGGAAGTCAGATCCTTATTTTTGTCAATTACAAACCTGACAATAGCTGCTTGTGATGACACAAGCAGAGCACACTGATGTCCAGTGAAGCAGCATCCAACCAAACCAGTCAGGAAAACACTGCCTAATAATGCCCTCAGTCACTTCATATGCCTGGTTTGGAAACTTTCAGGTGTTAAACAGTAGAGGATTTTACTTCATATATGTTCTGCAGTTGGTTTACTTTCATTTCAACTAATGAAGATTCAGATTGATTTTTAGATCATTTTATTTTCCAGTTCTTGCAGCTATTCCTGTTACCTACACACAGTGCTTACTTTTCTAGTTTTAGAGGTTAGTTTTAGTTCAGTTTAGAAGTTTAGTTATAGTTTGGAATTTCTAAGTAATTATTTATTTTTTATTAAGTGACCTTTGACTCATTGTATTAAAATTATTTTTGGTTTTGGTGTAATTTTTTTTTAATGCCCATAAGATTTTCCAAGCCTTTATGTCAAGATCTGTGCAACATTCTTCACTAGCCCCTTAGTCAGTCATTGCAGAAATGGGCACAAAACCATGACAGAAAAACAGGGACTAATACTGATCAATTGTATCCCAATACATTTGATAATATATATGGATTTACCTACAAGAAGTTCATCAGCTTTTTGAACTACATCTCAAACTAAGAGCAGTCCATGTAAAATGCTTGGCAGGAGACAATATCAAAATGGATATATAACTCCCTGTTCAGGTTCTCTGCATCTGTAGGGCAGCATTAACTTATTTAAAACTATTTCAACTCGAATAATACACTATGCAGCCTACAAAATATTTAACCCAGACAGGAAAGGCTTAACACTAGCTGTGTTTAAAAAACTACGAACCCTTTGAAACACAGACTGAGGAAAACTTGTCCTTGCTGTCATCTGTCAGCATACAGAAAAAAACATATTGCCCAATACTTAATCCTACCTGCCTCACATGCTACTATTTTGCAGATTGTAGTAAAACATAATATCCTTTCACAACTATACAGGACATGGTATTCGCTTTATTACTAGCCATTCAGCTTGCTGCTAACCCCCCCACACCCCCCACCCCCCCCTTCTCAGCATACAGCTCAGGGTCTTATTTACTGCATCTTCTTCAAAAAAACAAATTTATTATGTCTCATTTTGCACACATTACAAAAGTGCCTGGTTGCTATCTATTCAGTAGTTATTTTGAATAGATTAGGATAAAACAGGAGTAATTCAGTTGGAAGGGACCTGCAATGAAAATCTAGTCCAACCACCTGACAATTTCAGGGAGTACAAGAGGATATGAACTGTTTCATAATAACCTATGTAATTTTTGCCCAGATCCCTCAGTGCAACAAAGTACTTGCAGGTTCAGGGCATTGCTCTTTCACCTTCAGATGCAGCAATACAGATGCAGAATTTCTGCAGACCAGACCCAGGGATCTCATCCCACTCTTCTGACTCAGTCACTACATACCCTACACATCCTGCAACACAGTACCCTGAGGTATTGTGGTCTTCTTCCCTAAGCAATCTATCACAAACCTGAGTAGGCACTTTGTACACAATAATGTAATTAAAAATTATATGCATTGCAGAACAAATTAAGGAATCATAGATTTCCAAAATGCTGGCATTTATTCAACCTTGAGAGCTTGATTTTGCAACTTTAGAAATAATGCTATAGATTACTCTTGGAGGGCTTTTAGGTCAGTAACCCACTGACATCCCAAGCTGTCCTTTTGTACCTACTTCACAGACTGTGGTCATCTGAGCTAGCTTATACTACAAATAGTTTCACTTCCATTTTTTTACCATTAGATGCAAACTTCCCCTCCAACAATAATATATTTTACACATTTCCCTTGATGGGTATACAAGGCCCAAGACCACTGGCTTCCAGTTAAGGCTTTGGAGCAATGTATTTCCCTGAGACTCAAGACTATTTGTTAATTCCTTCTATCGAGCTTAACCTTTTCCTTCCTTCTCCTGCCTCCTAGTTTTTCACTAGCCCTTTCCTTTTTCCTTCTTATTTGAAAAGAATGGGACTGCTGCAGCGACAGTGTTGTTCCTCAGATTTCTACTCTCAGTCCTACTCAGTCTTACTGCCCTCAGTCTTGGTTCCCTTTTGGCTTTCCTCCCCACAGTTTTATATCTTGCTCTCACAAGCCAAGGCTCTCCTTCCACACTGCTGCACAATTCTGATCTGTACCCTTCTCCACTCTGTCCATCCCCAATGAGTTCACAGCTCCTCACTTCAGAAACATCAACTCTCATCCTGTGCTTCAAATACACATCCAACCCACCAATCCTTTCCGTGTCTCCCTGCCATACAGCGGACTCTGAAATCCGGTGTTTGTAAGAGGCCATGTCTTAGGATGTATCAGGCAACCATAACACAGGTCTGTGCTTCCACCAGCACATGAAGGATACACCGTCCTTGACCACTATTTAACAAACGAATATCCTTTCAGTGAAATTTATAGGGAAGCTGCACCAAGTTTAAAGGATAATCAGGGCTTTATATACCTTTTACTAATCTCATGTAGAAAAAGCTGGTAATCTCACTCTCTCAAATCTCTGTCCTCACAAACCACCAGATTACTGTACAACTCACAGATCCTAAGAACAGCACTTAACCTGGCTGAAAGCCTGCTCCCTACAAATTAAACCCCAAACTTAGACTTGGATCTCAAAAATATGTTCTTCACTGACTGTGAATAATGCTGTCCAATACAAGCTCAACTCTTCAAAATATTTACTGTAAGAGTATCGGTTCACATCAGTATCCGTGAGTTTCCAAATAAGCAATGCACAAATACAATACTGAATGCTTCTTTTCATTTTCTCAGGAATTGTTTTATGCCCCTCGTAAGACCCACTAAAAAAGCATTAGCGAACTTAAAAAAAAAATCCCCTCATTTTTAAAAGATTATTTAATGACTGGATTAGAAGAACAGTGGGAACAGTTTCTTCCAACTCTGCTCTTTCCTGTAGCCCATTTAATAGTCAGGTAAGACAACAGCTTGTACTGCCAGAAGCTCTTTAATAAAAAATGATCAGTAAATATAAAAGAGTTCTTTAGTATGCATTTTTGGGAAAAAAGACAGCTGGGGAAAAAAAAAAGTTTAATAGCTTACCCACAAAAGTTTCAATATATTTTTAAATTACTTGATTGGATTTGGCTTCAGACCCACAATACCTTAGGGAAAAAAAAAGGCAGAAATCTCCCCTATGCTATTTTTTAGAAGTCAAAACCTATTTACTTTGGTTTTCTTAGGCAGAATTTCATAACAGGACAACAAAGCAGAAAAGTTACAAATACCTGGTAGATAATCAGTTGAATGGAGGTTACAGTGTGATTTTGTAGCTGGAAGAATTACTATAATTCCTGGAAGAATAAGCACAGAAAGTTTTTGTAGACTAAGAAGGGAGCACTGGGGTTACTGGCCCTTTTCACAAAGCCATTGCTGCAAACAGCCAGTTTGCATTCCTGCTTCCAAATGCTTTGAGAAAAGAACCGCTCAATTTCTCCTAGCTTGAATAGGTACTTTCATTCAAAATAAATGAAATCTGATCTATTGACCTGTTGAGTCTCACCATACAAAGGTGAAAAAGCCATCTGAGAGCATTCTTCAGGAACTTACTAAGGGAATGAGTTGATAATAAATAGCATTATAGGGTTTCGGTTTTCTTACCTCTCTAGACTGGACTCTGAATGAGATCCACTTATTAGAAGTTAGAGCTAGATAGAGCCATACTGAAAAAAAGATACATTGAATTTTAAAACTAAAGCTAATACAACAGAAGAGCACAAATGGTTTTGTTGGTTTTGTTTGTTGGGTTTTTTTTAGTAGCTAATGACTCCAGTTAACATTACAGAACAATTCAAAAGCTGTGGGACAGAGGCCTTTTGTGCTACATGTCAAAAAATAAAAGTTGACAGTTAACAGTCACAACTGTTATTACTCTTACACAAGAAGTTCTTTTTCCACAGTTTCAATCAGGGAAAAATGATTCTTGGAAAGCTGGCAGAACAAGCTCAAGAAAGAACCCCAGCCCAGGCTGTACTAACACACCATGCCAGTGTCTGGCCTGTAAGATTAGAACAATCCAAAGAATAGGTATTGTAGGCAATGGGCCCTGTTTGAGTGGGTTAGTTGTCATAACATTTGTTCTTTAAACAGTTTTTCAAATACAAAGAAACAACACTAGATGGTGCTTCACCTCGATCATCTGCAATTCACTGTTTTCACAAATTTTAAAAGCTTGACTAATCTCCCACAAAGTGGACTGGTCCCTCTATAATCCAAGAGCAATAAAATGTCAATGTCAAACAAAATTACATACACTTCCAGGTTTTTTCCCATTGGATACAGGGTTTCCTAGAAACCCAATAGTCTTTCCAACTTTTCTATTTCTTTTGTCTCTAGTTGTGATTTGCTTTAATGAGCCAGCAAATAGAATTTGGCAATTCAGAAGTCTGCAAAACATATCGTTTGATTGACATTAATGCAGACAGAAAGCAATTTGGAAAAGCAACTGCTAGAGCATAAGGGGGGAGATGGACAGAAAACATTTTTGCTTTCTCATTAAGAGGTCTCCAGGAATCCAACACACTACCTATTTGCTTTGATTACAGAGCAGACAACAGACAAGTTCAACCAAAGACGACATAGAACCGTTTCTGTGCATCATATTGCCTGCCACCATGATGCTCTTCCTGGCATTCCTGCTGCTCTTCCTGTACCGCCGTTGCCAGCGCCCCACTCAGCAGGGGCAGATCTTCAGCATTGACCTTCCTGAGGCCCTGCCTGAACATGATGTGTCCAATTTCCTTTCTGCACTGCCCTGGAACAGTGAACAGAGTTTCCACTACTCCACACTGGTCCCTGATGCCACATTCCTCTCTGTGTGTTTACCTCCATCGTATGAGGAGGCCACCATGAAGACTTCCATGGAAGAGGCTCACATTGAGCTCTCTCCAGACCCAGTGCCTCCTTATGAAGAGAGCACACTGCAGACCAGCAGCGCCAAATAAACTTTCTATGGAAGCACCTTAGCTGAAGCATGCAACCCCCTCAAGGCACAAGGGTAGAACTGCTATGGCCTTTAAAATTCGTGAAAAGATTCCAAATGAGGCACCAAACCAATGAATTTATACAGGAAGAAACTTGAAGTAACAGGGAATGAGTCTCTTCACCTCGTCCTAGGACTCTCTACCTTCCATTTGTGGCAAGTCTACACATGGTATAGCACCAAATCTGATCCAGACTGGCAGCATGGATTATTCCAGTTAACAAACATGTCATGAAAGGATTAAACTTAAGGAAAGTTGAGAAGCTGTTCCTCTGCCATACATCACCTACAAAGAAATGTCAATAATATTATAGATTCACTTGTCACAAAAAGGGCTTTTAGCACATGCCTATTTCAGTTTGGAGGTTTTTTCTATGTGTTTATTTTCAATTGAGTCTTTGACAAGCTTAGTCTCTCCATCTGTGTGTGTTAACATCATCATTCTGCAGTGCTCTGGAATGATCACAACAACTCTCAGGAAAGTAAATAAATATATAATATATACAAAATTTCCAGCAACTGTCTCCAAAGGTTCTAATGTGCACTGTGGATACAGGCTGTCTTTTCTCACAGTTGAACAATGAGAACAATCAGAGAAGATCTGATTGTTCTGGGTGTGGAAGACTCCATACAAGAGCACATTCACACTATTGCTGCAAGCTTCCTGTCAAGGTCTGCAAGGTCCCAATGTTCCAGACTACTTGCTTGACTTCTTTTCCAATTTACAAGTCTAAAATAATAAACCATGTGACTTTTTTGGTGCAGTGTGTAAAGAAGCTGAAGAAAAATTAATAAATTCAAATGCACCAAAAAAATCTGGTCTGTATTTCAAAACAGCATTATCATCCCTTCCCCTTCATCGCTAAGGCAAAGTCAAGCTAATTCTAGTGTGTTGGTGGCAGTGGCTCAGAGGGTTTGCACATGCATACTTTTAGACTATCTTTAATTTTTCTTGGAGGATAGTATTTCCATTATATTGTTAGATGCTCTTGTTACAGAAGGTGGCTACTACAGATCCTGACAGCCTCAAAGTTATGTTGGCAAGCCACAGACAAAAGTAATGTCATGGAATAGCTGACACCTGCAAGCAAGAAACTATCGTAACAGCTCTGTGCAGTCTTGGTGTAACTAACAAATCCAAAGGCTGCCCTGACCTGCAGTCTATGATCTCAGCAACTGTCAGGAGGTGTCAGTATCAGCCAGTCCTGCTTTATGAACTTACTACATTCCTTAAAAAACCCAACAAACCCAACAATACAATAATAGAAGAAAAAAATCACTGCTGTACAGCAGAAGAAAGGCCGCTTTCAAGCTGCAAGGTACTTAAAGTTCATGTTATATCAACAGTGACACAATCACAGTAACCAAATAGTCCAGGTCAAAACTGATGTTGCCATTCATACATTTCTCTAATAACAAGAAAAAAAAAATCTGCCTTTTATAATTCAGAAATGGGATCGTTTTCTTGAATTACAATTTGAGATAATTCCTTTTCTAATGTTCCATTTTGGTTATCAAACTGCAGCAGCAGATGTTTTGGAAAAATCCAAATTCAATCAACCATTTTTCTTTTCAGACCACATCTGGGAACAGTTCCTGTATTTGCTGGTGCATTCAAAGTACTATATTCTACTGTCTCCTTGCATTTTCTTTACCTTCTTAATATTTGGTACACACAGTTGTTGCCAGCTACAAGGAAAGCTGGAAAAATATATGGGCCCCAAACAACATACCTAATTGGAAAGGTGTAAAGCTTTGAGGTTCAAAGATAAATCACTTCTGCCTCTGGTGTCTGTATATTCCACTGTCTTCAGCAAAGTTGTACAGATACACTTGAAAACTAAGCTATTGTCATATCAAATGGAGTATATTTTGCCTTAAAAGATATACTGTGTTCTGAAATGAGCTGCACTGTTATTCAGCACAGATTCTTGTTTATCCTTAACCTGGGTAGAGCCTGCTACTCAGCCCCTGGGCTCATCATTCTAAACGGCTCTCTAGTCACCTTACTTACAATTAAAAAAACTTTTTGACTGCTTTCTTGTGACCAAGACTTATATACTTCTAAAATAGCTGAGAACTGCTATTCTCTGGAAACATATAGAGAGTGATTGGGTTTCACACAGTATTTACTGGATAACTCTCAAATCCTGCTTTAGATAAATAGTTTCTGATTGTTTGCATTACTACAGACAATTAAAAACGGACACTTGCTCAATTTCAAATTAACAGAAACACTGCCATGACTTAAATTCCTCTTTCTAGTAGACTGCTTTTTATTTCATCTGGAATTGGTATCCCTTACCTCATTCCAAAACAGATTTGTCTAGTCTTGCATGTTAATTGTCCCTAGTGGGTTTCAACCTTACCAGCACCTCTACTCTTAAATCCCCACCACAAAGAGAAGGTCCACTAAAACAAAAAGAGAATGTTTCTCATGCAAACATACTGAAATTAAATCTCTATTGCCCAGAAGCTACCTCTGATCATATTAGCCTGTGGTGACACACATCTCAGTAACCACAATGTTATTGGTGTTAGTGCTACTGCTTGTGGAGCAGCTGTCATGTCCTTAGGGCAAGCACCTTCTGCATCCAAGAGGAGAGCTCATGACCTGAAAGGAACTCATGCCTGGTCATACAGCAACCATAAGTGCAAGGGGAAGATCTTTAATTTTCTTAGCTCCAGTAATCTCAAAGGTGAAGGTTTTAGACTGAGGAGACATTAAGTTTTCAATTACATAAAAGGTAATTACAAACAAAGCAAAATAAGCACCCCTCATGCTTGCACCAATCTGAACTGCTACTAGTGATCTTAAAGTGAAACAAGTTTAAGTCAGAAAAGAAATTTCTATAAGTGAAGTGCAGTCTGAAAGTGCAGCAAAGCACTGGTAACACCATCTCTGGCCACATTAAGAAGTTAGACAAACTTATGTCCAGAGTGATGAAGGCTCCTAACTGGAGCAAGGAATGGACTGGATGTCTTCTCTGAGTCCTTTCTTGGTATAGCTAAAGCTATATCAAATTAAATTTTGTTCATAATTTCCAAATTTTGTATGAAATCAGATGGCTATTTCTTTGAAAATTTGATACTAGGAGATTTCATATGCATCCAGAAATCACTGTAACACTGGCATTGTACTTTATAACCACAAAGTTCTTTTTCTTTCTTTTTTTAAATCTCATATCTGCTACTACACTATAAGTTGTTAACTCACCTAATGTGAAGGGCAACTATATTTCAGTTTTCTATTATAAGAATATTGAGAACCATGATGAGGTTATTTACGTACATAGAACCCCTTGTTTATACTTAGTAGGAAACTATGGAACAGTATGGCCCCCCTCACTAAGGAGGTTTCAGAAGCTCAGAGAGCAATCTCTGTGCTTCTCCTCTCTGTGAGAGCTGCCAGAGTCTCTTACTGACATCAATCCACTGCTCTGCAGACCAAGATGCAGATACATCTTGTACACATGCCAGTTATTTGCTCAAAAGACATTTAAAGGAAAGCAACACAGGTAATTCATACAAAACAGTTCTATTAAACATCAGCTGAAAGTATTCAGCACTCATCTCCAGTAATAATACAGTACTTTCACATCCAGTAATAATACAGTACCTTCAAATTAGTAGAATATCCTGTCTCTCTCACTTTACCTGAAGGAAGGAAAGATGAGACATCTCTTTGCAACCACAGTAGGAGCTCAGAAACTAACATCTTGGATAAAAATGATTCATGCCTGTGCATAGATCAAGCATCTGGCACCTAATCTTTGATGAGCTAAAAACTAACTCATCACTAACTGATTCACTGGTTCGTACTTGGCAGTGACAAAATATGTTTTTCAAAACAGGACAGTCACTTCTTGGCCTTGGCTTAGGAAAGACAGAATGACAATATATAAATTTCTCTTCAGAGAGATGTTTGTTTGTAACAAATACCTTGTCTAGAAATTTAGATCCCTCACTGAAATGGAATAACTTTATATAAAAAAAAATAAGCAAACTCTGACATTGAGTCAGAATATCTTTATGATAGTTTAATAATATCACAGTGGCCAAGAAAGAACTGCCCCCAAAAATACAACATTTGGCTTAATCTATGCTTATAAGGATTTTGCTTGTGCCCCTATGCCAGCAAAGCCTCCAAATACAGACACTCAATTACTTTTACCAGTACAAACTCCACTAGCGTGAACTGTATGTGCTCTAGTAGTCAAATAACTCTTACAAATGTAGGTTTTATCTATATTAGAAGGTGACTCAGCAGTCTTAGTCTGGCTAAATACAAAACTGCAGCAACTCAGAAGCAGATTCACAGAGGAGTCTGTCTTGCAGAGAATGGTAATTGGCAGAGATGACACCTACTGCTGTCCAGTTTTAATTCACAGCCTCCATACATCTGACAGTAAGCAGACCATTGATTTAGCTGCTGGCTCAATCAAGGGCACAGGAGCTAATGGGTAGTAGTAGTCCTTACAGGAGTTAGCTTAAGGACAAGAACAAAAAGTGAAAGCTTTCAAGTCACACCTTGTTCACCAGAAGATATGCGTAACACAGCTCTTTCTATTTTCCAATTTCTTCCTCTTGAAGGCCTGTAAGTTTTGCATCCTCTGGTTCCACTGCTTGCACCACTTGAAAAGTTATAACTTCAGATTAAACACAATTTGTACCAAAAAACAAAAAACGTTAGCACAATTTTTATACTGTTTAAGGCAATTTCAACATTTGACCTACATTGAAACTACTTGATTACAACCATTCTGAGAGCTGTTTTCCATATTGTACAAAGCCTTTCTTCAGCTTTGATACAGCTTCCTGAAAAACAAATTTTTCCCTGAGACAATATTACGAAGGCAAGAATCCTTCCAACAAAAGGAATGACTTCTGTTCTGGGTCACAGCCAATAAAGCAGCAATAAATCTTGTAATGTAACTCAACACACTTAAAAGTATTTAAAAATACCTGTAACAAACAGTGCCTGATAAACCATGGGAAAGCAAGGTTCAGCATTCCAGATGTCTTCAGATGCAGCCATCTCTTTCATTGTGCTTCTCAAAGCTCCCTCCCAAACTAACTCATAATAGGATTCTGCCTGCAGCCTGTTTTTTGCAGTGCAATCAAGGGGTTCTCAGGACTTAAAGGAACCCTTAAGTAACCATTATGCAGCTAAAATTTAATTTTCTTGGTTAGTCTGGCTTGTTTCAGTGAGATGATAGTGCTGCTCTCGACTTCCTTGAAGATGACTTGACCGCTACCACCTGGCCTAGCTTTTCCAATCCCACAGGCAGCTGTGGACTTTTATTGTGCCCATTTGTGAGTAAAATTAACTCTTTCCAGTCCTCAGTGAGGAGAAAACAACTGAGACAAATAAAGACCATCTAGGCACAGGAACATTCGTTTTGTCAGGTCTATAAAGTGCTTGGCCCACAGAGAGCTGCCCCCATTCCTAACAGGCTTGCTACAAAACAAACAGCGTTCAGGACCAGTAGTGGTCCTTCAGACATACACCTTTGGTCACAGTGCTAGAAGCCTACTATGTAGCTGAGGAAAAAGGATGTGCTTGGTAGCAAGGTTTCCTCAGAAAACTAGTCCAATGTAATATGATTATGTTACATGGAGTCTCAGAGTCTCTTCTCTTACTGGCTTTTCCAGACTGTTATGGCCTCTCTGTAAAACCTGCATGGAAATACATAGTTTCAAAAATACAAAGTGTCTTTCAGTTTTGTGGAAACTCAAGTTTCAAGGAAAGTGATTATAACAGTGACCTTGGTGTAGTATTCATCTCTTGTAAGACACTGAGAAAATCCA